AGACCATATAAGGAGAACCGAAAATTTAAAGACTTAAACACTATAGCAAATGTAGACCAATGTTTCTGACCTTCTGTAGAGAGAGCAAGAGAGAGCCCATGTCAAGCAATGACATAAGCAGCCAAAGGCATTGCAGCTAAGACAGGAAATCAGGAAAACCAGCACAGTTCTAAGGACTGATAATCAGTAAAGTCATGCAAACCTGGGAGAACCAGGAATAGAAGTTATTAGAATCAGAAGAAGCCTGCCAAGGCCTAAGACTAATGAAACTTTAAAAAGGTTAGACTGTGGGGCACCTGGGTGGCTCAGTTGGTTGAGCATCAGCCTTTGGCTCAGGTCAGAATCTCCAAGTCCTGGGACCCAGCCCCATGTCAGGATCCCTGCTCAGCAGGGTGTCTGGCTTCTCCCTCTGCCCCTCACCCCACCTGTACTCTCTCAACCTCTCTCTCAAAAAAACAAAACATTGGGGCGCCTGGGTGGCTCAGTGGGTTAAAGCCTCTGCCTTCGGCTCAGGTCATGATCCCAGGATCCTGGGATCGAGACCCGCATCAGGCTCTCTGCTTGGCAGGAAGCCTGCTTCCTCCTCTCTCTCTGCCTGCCTCTCTGCCTACTTGTGATCTCTGCCTCTCAAATAAATAAACAAAATCTTTAAAAAAAAAATCCTTTAAAAAAATAAAAAAACAAATAAAAAGGTTAGACCTCTGTAGCAAACAGACTCTCCAGATGCTAGACCCTTCCTTATCTGACTGCATTAAAAAGGCAATTGCCACCAAAGGTTCACCCAACTGCTTTCTGAGCATAAGAGATCCTCCCCTGCCTGCACACAGTAAGCAGCATGTGCAGAGAGCTGACCCAGACCAGATGGTGTCCTCCTCTCAACTGTGCACTCAGGGACTGACTTAGTGTTTGGTTTGTTAACTTCTTACCCTTATTGTATTTTGTTTGTAGTATGACTTTATATCATACTTTGTTTTCTGTGACGTGTATGAAGCCAGGTTAAATGCATAGTAAAATGTCACTGAGTTTGGAATCCTGAACCTACTTTACAATGATCTTAACCTTGTTTTGTGATTGAATAAAGCTGACACCAGGAAAGACACAACACATGTATATGCCTTTATAGCATGTTTGAGACAACTCAGCCAACAGTAAACTAGTAACAGTTAAAATAATCACCATACAAAAGCTCTCTTAGCTTTTTTTTCTCACAGTTGTTAAAACACTGAAATTTTACTAGTAAATTTAAACTTAATTGACTTTCTCAGCCCAAGTGTCAAATGTATGTTTTATTGTTTCTTTTCTGTTGTTGTTTTTCTTTTTAAAGATTTCATTTATTTGAGAGAGAGCAAGAGATAGAGAGCGCACAGATTGAGCATGAAGAGGGGGAAGGGTAAAGGGAGAGGGATAAGCAGACTCCCCACTGAGCAGGTAGCCAGACAGGGGATAGATCCCAAGACCCCGGGATCACAACCTAAGCCAGAGGCAGATGCTTAACCGACTGAGCCACCCAGGTGCCCCTTATTGTTTCTACATAATAACAAATGACAAAATTCCACTTTCCACTACACAATCATTATGAGATTGTGATTTATAATAAGTATATGTTTGGTCTTTCTCCCCATTTCCCCACACAAAGCTCCTAAAACCCTTGAAAGGGCCTGTGAAAAGAGGTCTCTTTTGTTATGTTAATTAACTTTGGAAAGCCCTTGGGGAACTAAAAATGGAGGCTGGTTAATAGGGGAACCAACATGCGATTAAAGATTTAAAATTTTCAGTACCCCTACTCCAAATCTGGGAAGGGGAGAAGGGCAGGAGGTTGAATCTGTTCTGTTGTCAATGGAACAATGATTGAGTCAGTCCTGAGCATGTAGTGAAGCCTTCAAAGAAAACCCATAAGAACTGTGTTTAGAGAGCCTCCAGGTTGTGAGCACACGGAGATTTGGGGAGAGTGGCACACCTGGAAAGGGCATGAAACCCTTATGCCTCTTTCCACATATGCTCTGTGTCCCTCCACTTGGCCATTCTGGAGTTGTATTATTTATATTATTATTTTAAAGATTTTATTTATTTATTTGACAGAGAGACAGAGCGAGAGAGGGACCACAGCAGGGAGCGGGGAGAGGGAGAAGCAGGATTCCCAAAGAGCAGGGAGCCTGATGTGGGATTCCATTCGAGGACCCTGGGATCATGACCTAAGCTGAAGGCAGACCTTAATGACTGAGCCACCCAGGCACCCCTGTATTCTTTTATAATAAATCAGTAATCTAGTGAGTAAATGGGTTTCCTAAATTCTGTGAGCTGCTTTTGCAAACTAATCAAACCCAAAGAGAGGACTGTGGGGACCTCTCAGCCACAGCCAACAGGTCAGAAGGACAGGTAATAACCTGGGCTTGTGATTGGCATGCTGAGTTGGAGGAGGTCAATGGAAACTCCTATCTGTAGCCAGCTGGTCAGAAGCATAGATGATAACCGGGCTTGAGAGTATCTGAACTGTTGTGGGGGAGGGTGGGCAGTCTTGCAGGAATGAATCATTAACCTGTCAATTCTGACACTATCGACAGACCATGCAAAACTGACCTGAATTGTAGGATACTCAGTTGATGTCCAGAGAATTGCCTGCTGATGTGGGAACCATCCCCACCCCCTGCCCCCAATACACCCATTGGAACTGGGTCCTGGAACCTAAAAGGTTCATGATTCTCTGTGGAAACACTTTGATCAGGCTTTATTTAATCCCTTCTATGTTTGGTACAGAAATAAAATATTCTCTTTAAATTTCATTCTGTTTAAATAAAAAGACACATAAGCTTAGATGATAGCCTCATACTTATTGTGTATTTATTAATTTCTCAGGGTTAAGTCCTGCATCATTTGTATTAGTGCTTCTCTAAGGGTGACTTCAGAAGAATAAAGGATATTATCATGTCAAACATTTAGTTTATAAAAAAAATTCTGAGGATTCAAATAATTTTTAGGTAATTTCAAATAACTGTAAATGCCACTGGCTTTTAATTTTAAAACAAACCCAAGTCATAAATATGTAAACTGCAAAAAAAAGAAAAGGTGATTTACAATAAGTAATCTAGTAATTTCTGGTAATTATACAAATATTCCATTTATTATATACATCTTTAAGAAATGGTATAGGAAAGCAAAATCAGGCACTGCTACAGATAGTTTTGCCTTTTTTTTTTTTTTTTAGGATTTTATTTATTTGAGATAGAGAGAGTGAGAGAGTGAGACAGAACATAAAGGGGGGTGAGCAGAGGGAGAAGCAGGCTCTCCACTGAGCAGGGAGCGCAATGTGGGGCTTAATCCCAGGACCCTGGGATCATGACCTGAGCCAAAGGCAGATGCTTAACTGACTGAGCCATTCAGGTACCCTAGTAGTTTTTCTATATAATTGAGAACAACATTAGTAAAATACTTATAACTTTCAAAGTAATACATAACATGAATCTTTCATCTGATGCCCTTAACAATGTAGTGTTCCATATTATTTCTATTTTCTATTATGCCAAATAGTCTTCATATCTGAACACATTTAACTGCTACATAAATTTTCATTAAGGGTTTAAAACATAATTAACCCAGGGACGCCTGGGTGGCTCAGCTGGTTGAGTGCCCTGACTCTTGCCTTCAGCTTGTGTCATGATCTCAGAGTCCTGGGATCAAGCCCCACTTTGAGCTCTGTGCTCAGGGCAGTCTGCTTATCCCTTTCCCTTTGCTCCTCCCCTGTTCTCTCTTTCTCTTTCTCTCTAATAAATAAATAAATCTTTAACATAATTTACCCAAGCATATCCCTCATTCTGAACCCGTATGTGCCGTCTCACTTTTGGCTATATAAAAGACTTAAAAGAATATATCCTAGATTATTTCCTTGGGATAGTCTCCCAATGATAGGATAAGGGTCTGAAGGGATATGAACATTTTAATGACTCATTACCTTATTTCTAAAATGTAAGCTTTTGTTTTTTCCCGCTGTAACTTAACTACTTCTCTCAAAAACAGACAAAAACCCTGCATAGTGCAAAGAACCCAAGTTTGGAAAAGAACAGATGTGTTCAAACCCCCAATTCAGCTACTTAACTTGGTTTGAGGCAATTAATCAACTTCTCTGCCCTTTCTCATCTGCAAAATGGGGATAATCCAAACTACCCTGCAGGATGGCCGTGAGGATTAGAAAGACTGTGTGTGTATACAGTGTCTAACTCAAAAAATGGACGCAGTAACTGCTGAGGCACTTTATCAGGATTAAGGGAACTGGTTTTGGAGTCACAGAGACTCACTTCAGAATCCTGGCTCCACCACTGTGTCAGCTGTGTGACCCTGGACCTGTTACTTCACCTCTCCACGTCTCCAAATAGCCCCCATAACTTACAGCATTACTGTAAAAATTAAATGAGATAACGTATACATACTGATTCCAGGACCTGGGAGCCACCAAGCCCTGGATAAGCACAAATGATGGACAGGAGGAAATTCAAAAGGCTGGTCTCCTCGTCTCAAGTCAGTACAATTTCAATGGTTTTGGTGAAACCATTGAAATTGTACTGGATGAGATCCTTGAGGCCACTTCCTTGCCTGGCCCATTTTCCTTCTCTTCCCTCCTCTATCTGCTTCCCTCATTCCTAGAAAAGTTGTTCCCTCCCTCAATTGATCCTTCACATGCATCCAAATCCCTGTCTCAAGCTGGCATCCAGGGGACCTCATCCAAACACTAGTATCTACAAGTGTTCCATAGATGGTAGCCCTAACGTTTATTAGGCTCTAAGGAAAAATAATAAAACTACACTGCTCAGCTAATACAAGAAACAAGTTTATGGTTTCTCATTTCTCACTGGTGCTTTTCTGCAACAGTCACTTTTCAGTAACACACACTATCATTTTCCTTGAATCTCAACTTTAGCCATCTCTTCACAGAATAGTTGGCTAACTTTACACTAAGACAAATGTATATTTCCTATGCAACCTCACACTTAAATATTAAGACAACTTACATTGTTTTCCATTGCTAGGCGGCGAACTGCAGGAGTTGCCAGTGTTTTCTGGCCCTTTATCTCTTGGTGTGTGTGTTCATCATGGGACACAGCAGGAGTTTCAACCACATCTTCTTCTGAATCTGGTCAACAAGGTAAAATTTTACTCTTCAGTTGAAAAATACAAAAAAATAAAAACGAGCTTCTTGGCTTATAATACACAAATAAATTGAACTTAATACATCTAATCAAAAGCATACTAGTCAGGCTACTTCAAAGTGGGAAGACACAACTTTACAGAGGGAAACAAAAGGGGTTGAGGGAGGCGGGTACTGGTACCTAGAGCTGCAGAATGTTTATTATTACCTGGTGTTTACTTCATTTCTCTTAGAATCATGCAGCAGCTACAAGTTAAAAAGTGAAAGCTTCTTCAATAAATGTTTAAATGTTTTGTATTTTAAATACTTCCCTGATAAAGTTCTCATTTATATTTAAATAGTATACAATAAGAATCAAATGTGAGGCAAATGACATGAAAGAATCCATAAAATCTGTGACAATCTTAAAACGCCTTCCTAAAATAATAAAGCATGTAACATTTTTCTCTGCTTTGAATATGGCTTAAGGAATGCTGAGGAAGATTTTATTTTCATGGCTAATGCTAATGTGGCTGGTCTAAGTCTCTAAATCTAGAGTGCCGATGGATGAAAAACTACCTCAGGCTCTTAGCATGTATTTTTGCAATGAAAAATTTAAAAGTCTCAGAGAGCACTGAACTGTCAAAGTCTGATGCTTGGAAATCCAGGCTGTACAGCAGAAATCTCTGTGGGAATGAGTGAATTAGACACTAAGTCTCTGAAAGCAGGCAAGTCAATTTGCTCTGACATTCCATTCAAAGCAAGGAACGATTCTCCACTGCTCTACCTACGGAAAGACAATCTCTTCATTTCTCCTCACTGGTCTATGAATGGCCCCAGTGGAGCTCTCAAAGATCCCCTAATGGCGCAGAAGGGAAAACAAAACAAAACTTGTACTGAGCATGTAGGTTCACAGAATATGCCATCCCGAGCATACCACTTTCATGTACTGATTATTTTGAGCTGTAGGCATTTGAAGAACAGCAAATGCAGGGAAAGGCATTCCCTACACTCTCATGTGCCTAAAGACAGATCTTCCAGAAGGAACTCAATAGTCATAAGCCCCTTCCCCAGGAGTTTCATCCACCGGGGAATATTGATTCCCATCACAGGAGAGACTAGAAGTCAGCGCTACACTCAAACTTTGACCCAAACTGTCATACCTCCCATCTGTTCTCTAAGGGCCCATTCATCTTCCTGAAAAACTATTTACTCTCCCCTCAGAAGCCAACATCCCACTTCCTCTTTCCCTATTAAAATGCTATTTAAGCCTGAACTCTAAAGCCACTTCTTTGGGTTACTCATCTTTCCCTGGGTGTCTCCGTGTATAAATGAGGTATACATGTTAATAAACGTCTGTTTTTCTCTAGTGAATCTTTTTTTTTTAATAAATCATCATGTGATAGGTGTAGATTTAGCTTTATTTTATTTTATTTTTTTAAAGATTTTATTTTATTTATTTGACAGAGATCACAAGTAGGCAGAGAGGCAGGCAGAGAGAGAGGAAGGGAAGCAGGCCCCCTGCCGAGCAGAGAGCTCAATGCCGGGCTTGATCCCAGGACTCTGGGATCATGACCTGAGCCGAAGGCAGCAGCCTTAACCCACTGAGCCACCCAGGCACCCCAAATCTGTCTTTTATTACAGGAAGTCTCAGCTAAGAACTCAGAAGGTTAGTGGGAGAATTATTTTTCCTCCCCCACAATTACCTATTATATGTCAAATACTACACTACATATGCAGTATCATATTTTAATCTTCACTCCAACTGTGTAAGATAGGTGTTATTATCCCAGCCTATGGATTAAAAAAATCTGACACTTGAAAGATGAAAGGATTGGCTTAAGTTCACACAGCTGAGACACTATTAAGAACTGGAAATCATTCCGAGGCTGCTTCACCCTGTGTTGTTTCCATTCGTTCACGATCCTGGTAAATTTTCTCAAAGAAGCTAGAATACAGCTCCTATGGTTCAAGGTATAGTTTTGCTGCAATTTGAGAAACCCTGTAGTATCGTCTATTGAAGTTATTGGAGAAATTAGTAAGAAAGATGAGCATTAGGAACTAGGATGCAAAGGGAAACCAAGGTGATCCCATTGTAGGAATTCTAAATATAACCTGAATTAATGTGTATTTGCAGTAATATGAGAATTGTAATAATGCTCAGATACAAAAGTTATATATTTCCAAAAGATCACTGAAAGTATTGCTACTCAGCTTTTCTGGAAAACATTCCGATATATGACCAAGTAGTACTGCCTTTCAGAAAATTTGGGTATAAATATGAGACAAGTTCAATGGTGAGAAGTCATTCATATTATATATTATTTGTAGTAGTCAGGTAGTTGTTAGAAGAAAGCTCTCTTCAGCACTAAAATACCACCTTACTACACAGTACCTTAAATCATTTTCTAAGTGTTTTTATACATATTTTCTCCTTTTATGATCACAACACTGTTACAGAAATGAAGGGCAGAGTTCTCAATTTTACCAATATAGAAAGACTCTAGGGGCGATGGAGTTAAGGCTAAACAAAAATTTCATTAACACTCCCCCAAGTGACATGATTTTCATGGTTCTAGCACTAGAATATGTGGGATTTTATTCTTTCAGTAGTGGATTTAGAATATATAGTTTTAAAATCCTTAAATTTTTAAAAAGAACAAAAGAACTCTGGTAAATAAACATTTTTATTAAGTCATTTATTTTATGTCATTTATTATATAAATTTTATATATTTTATTTTATAAATAAGTCATTTATTTTAATAAGTCATGAAAACTGCCAATTTAACGTTGCCAGAATTCCTCAAGTGATGCAAATTTATAACAGAACTATTATTTCAGATAAACTAAATAAAAAAGTAATTTGAATTGGTAAAAACATTAAAACTGAAATTACAATATTCTTAGGTATTTTAAGAGCTATTTCTAAAAATGACATTAAGTAGTCAATTAATTCACTTAATTGGGGAAATTCTTGTAGAGAAAATGTTTAAATACTAGAGCATTCAAGGGTGTTTGAAACAATTTGCCTTCACAAAAAGTTTTCTCTCTGCAAAACTTCTTAGGACGACTTTTCCTTGTAGAACAAATGTAAACTTTAGTTCCTATATAAATGATCATAAATTGAGAATTGATGATACCCAAATCAATGAAATCCCACTGTATTTTCTCTTTCACATCAAATTATTGAAACAGCTAATTCAATCAGTTTAATCTACAACTGGCTGAACAAAACTAAGTTACAGCTATCGTTCACTGCTCACTTACGATGCCCAGGGATTACACTCTGTAATTTATGTCATTGAGTATAATTTCACTAAATGACATGCTATGTTCTTAAAATGGTTTTATGTTAAAGAGGTTTTTTTAAAAAGATTTTATTTATTTATTTATTTGAGAGAGAGGGACAGAGAGAGTATGAGAGGGGTGGGGAGGTGGCGGGAGGAGGGGAGCAGAGGGAGAGGGACAAGCAGACTCTGAGCTGAGCACAGAGCCCTATGTGGTCAAAATCAAGAGTCAGACACTAACCAACCAAGCCACCCAGGCACCCCTCAAAGAACTTCTCTTCAATTCAGAATACTTTATTAATCCTGATAAACATTTTAGTATTATAAACTCTTTGTAGGGTGGTGCCTGAGTGGTGCAGTTGGTTAGACATCTGCCTCTTGATTTTGGCTCAGGTCATGATCTCAGGATTCTGAGATCGAGCCCTATGTCAGGCGCAGCACAGAGTCTGCTTCAGATTCTCTCCCTCTCCCTCTGCCCTTCCCACTCGTGCTCTGTTTATCTATCTAAATAAATCTTAAAAAAAGTAGATTATAAACTCTGTGGGACACCTAATTTATGTTGTTACAGCAGATTTTCCTAAGTATGCATACAAACAGTGCTAGAAGTTCAGTCCCAGTGTTCTAGCCGCAGAATGGAGCTGATACTCATAGTCTCTGGATAGAATTTTCAGTGTAACAAAGTGGCTAGGATTACGGGCTTTAGAATTAAACAGAACTGGGGTCAAACTGTAGTTCCCCCAGTTACTAACTATGTGACCATAGGCAAGATATTAAACTTCTGGGGGTCTCAATGATGCACTTGTCAAATGCAAGTAATAATCTAGATAACTCAATCTACATGATTATATGAAATAATGTATATACAGCATTAGAACAGAGAAAGTATTCAGTCAATGAGAGGCAGTGATGTTAAAGGACAGAATTCTGCTATAGCTTATGTTCCTCCTTCTCTTTCCTTAATACTTTCCCATGATGGCAAGACTCCTCTGTTAGGATTAATTAAGTGTAGTGGTGGTGGCCAGACGTTCTGGCAACTTAATTCCGCAGAGCTTTAGGATCAGAATACCTAGAACAGCTGCCACACAGCCTCAGCATTAAAACCATGCCCTCGCTCCAGAAAAGAGAAATTTAGACTCTTAACTGATCACACTTGCTCTTCTTTGTACCTACTTTTTTTTTTTTTTAAAGATTTTATTTATTTATTTGACAGAGATCACAAGTAGGCAGAGAGGCAGGCAGAGAGAGAGGGGGAAGCAGGCTCCCTGCTGAGCAGAGAGCCCGATGCGGAGCTCGATCCCAGGACCCTGGGATCATGACCGGAGCCGAAGGCAGAGGCTTTAACCCACCGAGCCACCCAGGCGCCCCTCTTTGTACCTACTTCTTAACAAACTTAGTTACTGGTGTTCCCAGAAATTTAGGAAGGAGAATCATGGGTGGGCATGGTAATAATGCTAAGAAGTAAGCCGAAAAACCAAAAGCCAGATGCAAAATTGTGCTGTTTCCAGAATAATAAATGTTCATTAATGTGCTTTTACATAATCCTAAAGATTCTAGGCTATACTCAATACCCTCTCTATAAGGAGTAAAATATGTAAAATTAAAAAAAAAAGAAAATTAATGATTCCCCTAAAAAATATTTTGATAAGTTGTTATAAAAAACTTCAGTTATTTAAAAATGTGAGAAGCCATCTTACTTTGTTAAATAGAGACTAGAGAAAGCCAGATTAGCTGTCAAAAGAATTCATGGCATTATACTTAAAACCGAGTTTACAACAGACAACACACTGAGACATGGAATATAATGTGATATAATTTGACATAATCTTGATAAAATTAAATAATTGGATTTCAACTTGTAATATATATTTTTTAATAGTATATGCCTTGTAGTATATGTGCTGCTGAAGCAAGTACAACAGTTTATGCCTTCTAAATGTCACACATACAAAGAGGCATAAGTCAGTCCAGTAAGCTCTTTTCAAGCAAAGGTCTATCTACAGTCAAAGCACTCATAGACAGGACCTGGACATCACAAATACAGTTTCTCTTCTCAGAATTATCCTGATACTCCAGCCTTGAAAAGTAGACACCACCACCATGTTCCAAAAGACAGTACCACAAAGTATTTAAACAAGCATTGGAAGAGAGGATTAATTGTGAATACTACTATTAAGATGTCTAATTTTGATCTCTTATACCTTTGGTAGTTCTATGCTATAATTATTTTCCACCTGTAAAATGGAAATAATGTATCTTATACTTATAAAAGACTTTTTGTTTGGTCATTTTCTATTTATAGTATAATTGGTTTTACTAGCACTAAAGCAAAAACAATATAAACAAGTTGAATATTACTACAAATTCTTGCTTGAGAAAAGGTACATAAAATATTTAGAAATCTTTCCCATTTCCAAAATTAAAGAGAAGCATATATAAATCTCATTAAATTGAATCTTCTGTTCTATAGGTTTGCTTATATATAGGTTATGATTTGTAGTTTATTCTTATAGTAAAAAAACGCAACATAAATATAAGAGCAAAAAGACACATATGCAAAATAAAACCACAATGCAAGATAATTGTTTAGATTACACTCTACTAGCAAACAAAACAGAACAGTGAGCAAATGATCAGTTCTCTCTGAGGAGAATGAACGGATAATTTTTATTCTGAACATAACCTACACAATCTCATTTTTTACAGATATAAAATAAACTGCACATACATAAAACTTGATAAACCTGAAATATATATATACCCATATTCCATTACCACAATCAAGATAAGGAACACACCCGCCCCACTCCCAAGAGATTCCTTATCCAGGCAACCACTAATCAGTTTTCGGTCTTTATAGATTAGTTTGCATTTTCTAAAATTTTATGTACATAGATCATACACCATGTTCTCTTTTTTGTCTGGTTTCTTGCACTCAGCATAATTTTTTGAGATTCATTCATGCTATACAGGAGATGAATTTTTATGAAACAATTCTCTAGAAAAAACACCCCTACTCTGAAACAGTTCTATGACTTTGTATTTTGCGATATAACAAGACTTATAAAGTTGAATCCCATCAGAAATGTCAAAACAAACTCTAAAGCCAAATAATAAAAAACCCATAAATCTCAACTGTTTATTTGTTCATATAAATAATTCATTTTTTTTTGGATGGCCTAGATTAGTATCTAATCTGGTCTATAACACCAGTCTGCTATAGACCAGATATAGACTGGGTGTTCTAATTTAATGACATCCGCAATAGTGTTCAGCATCTTTACTTGTTCAGTTTGTGCCCAAACTGATGCTCCCTGGTGGTCTAGTGGTTAGGATTCAGGACTCTCAGTTTGTGGGAAGAGTATAACCCTCCTGCATTTTTACGTCCTAACCGAATAATAACAATAAAAAAAAAGTCACTGATCCATCAAAATAATTTTGTGTTGCAGGTAATTTTAAAAGGTAAATTCTTCTTTTTTTTTAATACTCCTAAATCGTGGCTTTCAATATAGGAATCACCTCTACTACATAGATTATGATCTCTGGTCCACTTCGCATTAAAAGGAACAAGAGCCCTTTAGAAATGGAAAATTCCAGATCTCAGGTAGGAAATGTACACAGTGAGCCCCAATCATCTTCTAGTGCCAAAGGCAAGAAAGCTTTTGAAAATTAACGAGGTCATGTTAAAAGAACACACAGGAGGGGCACCTGGGTGGCTCAGTCGGTTGAGCAGCTGCCTTCAGCTCAGGTCATGATCCCAGGATCCTGGGATTGAGCCCCGCATCAGGCTCCCTGCTTGGCAGGAAGCCTGCTTCTCCCTCTCCCACTAACCTTGCTTGTGTTCCCTCTCTTATTGTGTCTCTGTCAAATAAATAAAATAAATAAATAAATAAATAAATAAATAAATAAAATATATAAAATAAATAAAATCTTAAAAAAAAAAAAAAGAGAACACACAGGAGCCACCCTGAAAGAGTCTCTTCTATTACAATTTCAGCATGAAAAAGAACGATTTTAATAGATTAAACACAGCAAATCAACTGAATACACACAAAGAGAAAAATAGAAATTTAATCACTATTAAAAGCAACCCCTTGGTAAGGGAAAAGAATTAAGCATTTATTCTGTCTTTCCCATAGAAACTATATTTCAGAGTAACTAACAGACCCAAATGATTGAGGGTGAAGCTCCACTTCACAGAATAATGCCAGCTAATAATGTAAAAAGAATGACAGAATCAAAAAATCATCATTCCACAACCCCTAAAGCAATTGTTGATTTAGGCAAGGACACTCAAATGATTATGAAGTATCTATATAGTGCCATATATAGTGCCATATGTAGTGAAGGGAGAAAAGACAAATCCCAAAGACGTGACATTTTGCAAAACAAATGGCATAGTCCTGTCCACAAGTCAGTGTCACAAAACAAAATGGGAAAGAGTATGAGTCACATGAAAAGAGACCATGGGCCATGTCTAGTCCCCTATTGGACCTCAGTTTGAACAAACCAGTTGAAATTTCAAGGACATTTTGGGGGCAACTGGGGAAATTTAAATAGTCTGATTATCAGATGAAATGAAAATGTATTGTCATGAAAACACAGACCTCGTTAAGCAAACAGATTAGAATACAGTAAGCATAATACATTACTTTGGTAAAAAACTACTTCAAAGCATGTGTGTGTGCTTAGAAAAACATCTGGAATGATATACACTACTGTGTTAAGAGTGGTGATTTCTGAGTAGCAGGAAGGTTTTCATTTTCTTATTTTTGGTTTTCTGCATTTTATATATAAGAAGGCTTTAATGGGCCATCTTCCAACTTTTGGAGGCAGCATGTCATAGTGTAAAATATTCTGGACAAAGACAGGCCATCAAGTTCTAAATCTGGCTCTGTCACTGACCATTGGGCAAATCGCTCAAAGTTTATAGGTTGCATTTCGTTTCTTCAACTGTTAAACCGAAATACTTCACAAGTAAGGATAAAGTAAATAGTGAAACTTTTTATAAACTGTGAAGTATGACTGTGATATTAGTTGTTGTTGTTATTAATGATACAGTCTATGAGTCAAGCAGCCCCCGTAATTCAGACTTCTGGATGTCTATTTCAGCCCTTCCCAGATAGATTGCTGACTTAGGGTTGCATCACAAAACTTAACGCCACACACACGCCTCCCCCTGCCCCCCCAGCCAATCCCTGATGGCCAAGTTGTTTTCTAGGTGACATAACTTTACTGTATCACAACAATGCCATAAGGAATTTCTGAGGTAGACAGCTGTCTCCCACCACTGGGAGAGCCCACTGTTTGAGTTTTCCTCTGCAACACTGTCACAACAGATTCACTTTTGTCAGGACATCTACTGCTTCTAAGTCCCATGGTCACTGCTTCTTCTGAATGCTAGTCTCTTCACTTTTCATTATGATTTTCCTTCTTTTCTCTTCCAGTTCTCTTCAAGAAGTTTGGCTTTCATAACCATAATTGCCAATGAGAGTATGGGCTTTTTTTTTTTAATATTTAATTAAAAAAATTTTTAAAGTAATTTCTACCCCCAACATGGGGTCAAACTCACAATCCCAAGATCAAGATCAAGAGTTGCATGCTCCAATAATTGGCTTAGTCAGGCAACCCAAGTAAGTGCTTTTGTTTTTGAATCAGTGGCAAACTAAATGATCTCACTGTTACATTTAATCTTTCACATATTCCAGTTTTTGTCATTAGTGACCAGGATTCAAGGCCTGAATCTTTAATTCCTAAGAAAGACTGTTGATTCTTTTGAACACTAAGGATTACAGAAGGCAGGCCTCCAGATAAATTAAGTGTTAATGTGTATGTTTCTAACATGGTAACTGGTCAGAAGATAATCATTCATCACAGAGGACCTTTTCTGTTTTCCTAATTTCAGCTCTTAAACCACCAAATTAAATTCTGTAAGTTATTAAAAGTAAATATCTCTTTTAATTAGTACCCATAACAAAAGGACAGCAGTAATCAATTTGGCAAAATAGATGAACATGTTTACAGTACCTTTTAAAGCTTCCGTTTCTATGTCTACTAATGGCTTTCCCACATAGGCAATATCGTCTAGATTATAATACAGTTTTTTAATGACTCCATCATAACGACTAGTGATAGTAACAGAAGCTTTATCGCTTTGAACTTCACAGATGCTATCAAATTGAGACACTGTATCTCCTTCTTTTACATACCTAAAAGAAAAAGACACAAAATACTTTTACATCAATAATTATAAGTATATAATACTAATCATTCTAACAATGTAAATGTTACACTGAATTAGGTCAGTATCCATCCACTACGTCATTTAGTCCCAGATAGTGCACCAAAAAATGTCAGAAAAAGACTATAAGGGGTCTCTTTGATGTATCCTCAAGAAATACTAAAAATTTAAAAGCCATTGATAGATATATAATCCAAAAATTTAATCACACTTTCAGGTGTGATGCCTCACCCATTTCTTGGAAGAAATTCTAAAAATGTGTTTTTAAGATGTTATTTCCTTTTATTATATTAGCCTTCATCAAACTTTAAGGTTTGTCTATTATTCTATAATTAAGTCCAAAAATAGATATCCCTAATGCATATTCTTTGTAATTTCATGAATTTTGGATTGAGTTCTCTCAGTCTTTCCTTCTAGAATTTTTAAATCTGTTCTTTTATATGAGTCTCTTTTTCTCCTTAATCATCTTAGGTATGCTTTGTAAGGCTATTCTAGATATTATTTTTTTTCCCAAAGATTTTATTTATTCATTTGACAGAGAGAGAGCACAAGCACGGGGAGTGGCAGGCAGAAGGAGAGGGAGAAGCAGGCTCCCCAGTGAGCAGGGAGCCTGATGTGGGGCTCAGTCACACCAGGACCATGACCTGAACTGAAGACACACACTTAACTGACTGAGCCATCCCAGTGCCCCAGGGTCTTCTAGATACTCTTAACAAACAGAATAGGATGAATGGAACCAAATCTGAAATGCAACATATGATTTTGATTCTTATACCATTCTTCATGTATCTGGCACATTTCTGACTTACTATCACCAAATTCTTCATTAAGATAATTGTTCAGTCCTTCTTATTCCTTGTCTTCCTATCTTAGCCAGTTCTCAGTCCATAATAAAACATCACCCATGACATAGAAACTAGGTTTAAAAGCACATATAGGGATGCCTGGGTGGCTCAGTGGGTTAAGCCGCTGCCTTAGGCTCAGGTCATGATCCCAGCATCCTGGGATCGAGTCCCACATCGGGCTCCTTGCTCAGCAGGGAGCCTGCTTCTCCCTCTGCCTCTGCCTGCCACTCTATCTGCTTGTGCTCTCTCTCTCTCTCTCTCCCTCTCTCTCTGACAAATAAATAAATAAAATCTTTAAAAAAAAATAAATAAAAGCACATATAGAGGACTTAAACTTCTAGAATGGTGGACTAAGTCCCTCTGGAACTCTGCACCTCTATAAATACAAGTATACCGGCAAAAGTTATTAAAAATGGACTTTTTCAGAATTCTAGAAATTGCAATAGGGCAATTATCAAGAAAGACCTATTCAGGAAAAGTGGCTGAATCTCATTAAAAACATCTGGCTTCATCTTTTTTTAAAAAAGATTTTATTTATTATTTGAGAGATAGCATGAGAGAGCAAGCACAAGCAAGGGGAAAGGCAAAGGGAGAGGGAAAGAGAGAAGCAAACTCCCCAGTGAACAGGAAGCCCAACATGGGTCTCGATCCCAGGACCCTGACCTGAGATCATGACCTGAGCTTAAGGTAGATGTGACTGAGCCACCCAGGCACATCCTAGTTTTATTATTTTAACTCCTATTCTCCTTTTCCTTTCCAGCTCAGCATTAGTCTTGAAAATCAGCAGCCTTATGTTATACCAAGGGCATACCCATGTTTGGAGTTTCACAAAAAGCTATACTCCCAGAGAACTGTCCCTATTTGACATGTTGGACAGCTCTCTGGGAAAAATCTATTCACAGAGCTCATTCTTGTTTGACATGACTCAGTTCCCTCAGGGTGTTTGCTGAAAACAGTCCACAGCAATTGAAAATTATGGCTAGCTGAGGCAATGATAAAAGGGCAAACAAGAGGTTCTTAAAAGGAAGACCTGGGTAATAAGATGTCCATACATCCTACCACATATCTGCCACATTATTTTATGTAAAATATCCAGTTTTCAACAAAAAATTACAAGACATGTAAAGAAACACAAAGTATGGCCCATGTAGAGAAAAAAAGCAGTCAATGGAAACCACCCCTGAGGAAGTCCAGATGTTAATTAATAATAATTAATGTTATTAACTTTAATAAAAGTTAAATCAGCAATTAAATATTCAAAGTACTAAAAGAAACCATATCTAAACAATTAAAGGGACATAGGAGAAAATGATGCCTCACTAAATAAAGAATATCAATAAAGAGATAAAATCTTTGAAGAAATAATGGCTAAAAACTTCCTAAACTTGATGAAAACATTAATGTACCTCTGTAAGAAACTCAACAAAGTCCAAATAGGATAAATTCAAAAGAGCCACACCTAGACACATAATAACCAAACTGCTGAAAGACAATGAGAAAAATCTTAAAATCAGCAAAAGAAAAACCACTCATCAACTATAGGAACCCTTTCAAGACTAACAGATGGTTTCTAGTCAGAAACCATGGAGGCCAAAAGGCATTGAATGACACATTCAATGTGCTGAAAGAAAAGAAAGACTGGGGATGTCTGAGTGGCTCAACTGGTTGCATCTGCCTTTAGCTCAGGTCATGATCTTAGGGTCCTGGGATCGAGACCCACACTGGGCTCCTTGCTCAGCAGGGAGCCTGCTTCTCTCTCTGCCTGCTGTTCCCCCTGCTTGTGTACTCTCTCTCTCTGACAAATAAATAAAATCTTAAAAAAAAAGAAGAAGAAGAAAGATTGTCAGTCAAGGATCTTATATCTAATAAAACTGTGCTTCAAAAAAAATGAAGAAGAAATAAATACATTCTCAAATAACTTGAAACAGAATTTTTGCTAGCAACCTGCCTTACAAGAAATGCTAAAAGGAGCCCTTCAAGCTGAAATAAAAGGGCAATAGACAGCAACTCAAATCCACATGAAGAAATAAAGAATACTAAAAAAGATTAACTACACAGGTAAATATACAAGACACTATATATATATATGTATATACATATATATATATATATAATTTTAAAGATTTTATTTATTTATTTGACAGACAGAGATCACAAGTAGGCAGAGAGAGAGGAAGGGAAGCAGGCTTCCTGCTGAGCAGAGAGCCCGATGCGGGGCTCGATCCCAGGACCCTGAGATCATGACCTGAGCCGAAGGCAGCGGCTTAACCCACTGAGCCACCCAGGCGCCCCTGGAACAACGTTTTTAATGTACTATTGAAACTAAGTTGATATTAATCCAAACTACATTGTTTTTTATTAAACCACAGGGTGGCCACTAAGAAAGTAACTTAAAAAATACATATATAGTAAAAGAAACAAGGAAATTAAAATGGTATGGTAGAAATAGCTATTTATCACAACAAGAGGCACTAATGGGAGAAATATATGAAAAAAAAACCCACAAAAACATATAGAAAACAAATAGCAAAATGGCAGATATGAATCTTACTTTATCTATTATATTAAATATAAATGGCTTAAACATGCCAATAAAAGGCATAGTTGGAAAAATGGATTTCAAAAAATGATTCCACTATATACTATCTATGAGACACAAATAAGTTAAAAGTAAAAGTATGCAAAAAAATATATCATGCAAGAGGGAAAGATGGTGGCAGAGCAGGAGGACCCAAGGCTCACCTCATCCCACAAATACAACTAGACAACTCCCATATCATCCTACATACCCTTAAGAAATCATACCTTAAGAAATCAGTCTTAAGGCTGGCAGAACAAATTGCACAACTAAAGGTAGAGAAGAGGTCACATCAATGAATGTAGGATGTGCAGAGACAAGGTTTAGGAGAGAAACAGACTTGCAGCTACAGTTGGGAGGTAGGTAACTGGTGGCAGAGAAGGGTGAGAGACAAACTAACACACAGGGGAGTGCACGGGGAAAACTAATTGCAATAGTAATTGGCTTGGAAAGTGAGAGGGGCTGAATTTCAGGAGTTCTTGCAAAAAGCAGGGCTTAAAGCCTAGAGCTGTAAAGGTCAGTGGACTTGGCTCAGATAGAGCCTGATGGCATTGAGGGTGCTCTTGGAAAGAAGACTAGGCAAATAGCCTGCAGACATACAGCATGGAAACAGTGACCTCAAAAACATCCTGGATCACAAGGTGGGAAGGTTATTTGTTTATCTCAGAGGACATCCCAGAGAGGCAGCATTCACAGACAGAACCCTTCAGGAACAAAAGAACTGGGAGACATGATTTCCCTCCCCTACCCCTCAGCAAAAGCACAGGTCTACCTACAGGAAGCTGTGTGGTGCTGACACATACTACTTAGCATGTTTACACCAAGTCCCATCACCCCCTGCACCCCATGCTCCAGCGGAAGCACCCTTCCTGGCCACAGTTGCCTCAGTCCCAGCATGGTGGGCCCCCTCCCCCGAAAGACTGGTCCAAAATCCTGCCAATGCTGTATCTCCCAATCTGGGAGTTTTGTGGAGCCTTGGTTCTGACAGCGGTGGCAACAGGTCTCATTTGACAAGCAGACCAGAGCACACATAGTTAAAACACACCACAGTCAGGCCAGGGACCAAATACTGCCCACAACAGGCCAAGGCATCCTCTGCAGACAACAGGCCTAAAGGATAAAGTGGCCAGGATAAAACAGCAGAGTACATGCAACACACACTAGAGACACTCACATAAGTGCCAGGCTCTGGGGAACATGGGACACTACATGGCAGGGCACTAGGACACTAGAGGACCTCTTCTTTATAAGACTATTACCTTTAAGAACATGTTTCTAAACACAAAGAAACAGGCAAAGAGACTTAAACAAAATGAGAAGACAGAGAAATTTGATCCAAATGAAAGAACAGGCCATGGCTGGAGATATAAGTGGAAGAGATATAAGTAATATTCCTGATGGAGTATTTCAAGTAATAATCATAAAATACTCCTTAAACTTGAGAAGAGAGTAGAAGACATCAGTAAGACCCTTAATGGAGATAAAAAAGATCAAATCAGAGATGAAGAGTAAAATAAACAAGATTAGAAACACACTTTATGGGGC